ATCCATAAGATATTTTATTTTGTTTTGCAAATTCCTATCCCACTTACTGCTGCGTCTATTTGTCGCATTCCGCGAGTCGAGTTGACGCGTTTGCACATTACCCATTGTCGCAACAATTTGTACGTAGTTCTCAACGTTTGTCTATAACTATATTAGCTTTATAATTAAGCCGTCACATTGCCGCGCGTTCGTTAACTGAAATTTTCAACCGCTCACAGCGCTTAGTCTCAACAAACTGAACAAACGAAGCTCTAGCTAAACATTATTGACGGAACCTACGGCATGTCAAGTCGTTAAGTAAATACTCTAACAAAATTGAGTATGTTGGGTTTTGTTTTATATTCATTAATATTTATTTTCTTTTCATACTATAATTATTGATTTATACTAAAAATAATTACTAAAGCAATGACAACTAATTTGTTGCTTGTCAAACTTTTATTAAAATTTTGTAATTTTGTATTTGTTAACTATCTTGAAATATTTCATTTATATTAACTTTTAATTATTTAAAAAATGTTTTACCTAGGATTTATAAACTTGTTATCTATAAATATTTGATTTATATTCAATTTTATTTATTTAAAAAATATTTCTAAGCATAACAGACTATTAAAAATATTAATATATTTTTAAAATTAAATTAAAATAATGTATTTTTGATTCAATATTGCAAAATATATTTTGCTACTATTTAATGATTTTTTTTTTATATTATAAGCATGTATATTGTTCTTATATATGCACACATATATTAAAATTCGATATATATATATATTTATTTTAAAATATAATATTATTTATTTATATGGAACACTTATTTTTTTCTATTTAAAAAAAAATTTATTTATTTTGTAATAATTATTTATATCTTTTTGTACCATATTCACATTTATATTTGTTTTTATAATTATTGTTATTATATTTTTGTTTTTATAATTAAATAACACTATTTATATATAATATACCTAACTTTAAAGCATATAACTTAATGGATTATCGTAATGCTGCTATAGTATATATTCGCATATTATTTGATTTGGCATTAGATATCTGCCTTAAATTTCTTTATTTAAACAAATGTTGCTGATTAAACAATAAAGATTTTTTTATATTTATATTATACTTCTCTTAAATATATATTTTTTTAAATAAACATTTTTTATTAAGAGAATTTGGCTTTAACTTTCTTGGTTTCTGGTTGCGTTACAAACCAATGTAACAAATTCATAATACCCTTTGTCAGTGTATAACAATAATATTATTACGAATTGAAGTAATTTTTCAATGTCGTTCGTCAATAATTTGCACTCACTGTTTGCCTAATTGTCTCTCTGATCCGCTACGGCTGATGCCCCCGCGCTTGACCAACTGCCGTTGTCGCCGGGTATCGGGTATCGGGCTTTATCATTCTCTAGATTAGAAGGTCTCCTCGTCGCAGTTTCGAGTTCTGCTGATCGCAGCGGTATATCTTTAATTAAATTTTCGGTTGTTTATTATAAGAAAATGGCATTGCGTGTTCTTTTATTGTTTATTCTGTGCGGCACACAAAGAGTGCAAAGAGAGCGAGAGCGAGTGCAAGAGAGAGGGAGAGGGAGAGGGAGAGAGAGAGCATTAAGAGTAAATTGCTTTTAATGATATATGAGGTATTAATATGTTGCTTTATCAATTATAAATTGTTCAGCTAATCCCTAATTGTTTGTTTTCATAAGTATGTGAGGCACTTGGTCAGATCATTCTAATTATGGAATATTGCTGATCATTAGTCTAAGTTATTAGATGGAGATCTGTGTCTGAGATAGCATCTACGTAATATGGATAGCTGGCTTCATTAGCTTGTTTGTTTGTTTGAACAAAAATAATAATTATCTGATGTATTTCATAAAGCAATAAGCTAAAGCGTTCACTTTTTACACTTTACTTAGTGGTTTGGGGTTAATTAGGTTTTCTTTTATGTTGACTAGGTAGAAAATGATTGTATGTTTCGAAATTCGGTTCAGTTATTTACCAGTATATTTTTATATATTAGAAATTCATAGTAAGTCAAATACGTTCATAGTTATACATAATTATAATTTAATTTAGCAATGAATTTAATTTGATCTTCATAATCAATATCAAAATTATTATTATAAATTATTATCATGATCCGATACGATTATAATTGATTCAGTAACATTGCTTCGATCTGAATCCAGATTTCGGCTTTCAAATCTAACTTTAGACGATGCTTTTAAAAAACCATTACTACTTATATTACGTTAATATATTCAAATTATTTCATTATAGCGGATATGTCTTCGTTATAGAATTTTTAGTTATTTTAATAAATACNAATAATGTAATATATATTATGTATATATATCCATTATATAAACTATAAAGTTTATGGAGATTATTAATAGGACTTATTTTTGTTTAGTTATCGCTAAAAGGTAGTAGGTGAAATTAAGATAAGAGGAATTATTCAATTCGTAAATTCTATTATACTATTCTATTCAACTATTGATAATCTTTTATCTTAAATTATGAGAATTTTCAGCATATTTATATACAATGCAAATTATTTGCTTGTTTCTTTTTCCTATATAACTATGAACTATTCGATTCAATTTGTGCTAAGACATGACCATATCAATGCATTTAAGAGAATTAAAGAATTGATACAAATAATTTAACAGTCAAGCTTGCCTAAAAGTCACTGAGGCGAATGAGCTCAAGTCGTTAGTAGTATTTTTTTTTAATGAAAAAAATTACTTTTCAATTAATGAAGAGAAAATGTCTTAGGCTGAGAAGAGAGCTGGAAATAACTCTACAGTTTTGCAAAAGTTTTTGTGCAATTTCTTTGGCATACTCACATTGTTGTTGTCTCATCGAATGTCAATTGCTTTAAGACCTTGCCACTTTTGGTGGTAACCACAGCTGGTCCGCCGCTGTCATTGCTGTCGGCCACATTATCGGGATCTAGATAAACCATGGGACAGGAGCTCTTACGACGCGGCACCGCACACGGAGCAGTTCTCATGGCTGTTCGTAGATAAACCAGCTATAGATTGGTATTCAATTAAATAATTTTCGCCACTTACCTTCCAAATTCATGGACTGTCTGCGCTTGGCCCGCACGCCCAACAAGCTGTTGAGCATTTTCTGGCGATGGGTAATGCTGCGTACGCCCAAACGCTTTAAATCTCTATCGGTTAGATCGCCAACATCATTTACAGTGGCATACATATTCAGGTTTTCTGCTTGAGCGGATGTGACACGTGAGTTAATGCACTTTTGCCGCAGAACAACAAAAAAGTGCTGACTAAACTGACCTTCATATTGCTGCAGCTCGAGCAGATTGAGCCATTCGCTAACGCTTAACCTGGAATTGTGGATGATCATGGCAACATCGTCGCGTCGCCTGCTGCCATTGGGATAACGGAAGTTCCAAAGGATGCCTAATTGATACAAAAAGATAAATAGGGCGAGAGACAGTGTGCTTTCAAATTGTATCCATAAGATATTTTATTTTGTTTTGCAAATTCCTATCCCACTTACTGCTGCGTCTATTTGTCGCATTCCGCGAGTCGAGTTGACGCGTTTGCACATTACCCATTGTCGCAACAATTTGTACGTAGTTCTCAACGTTTGTCTATAACTATATTAGCTTTATAATTAAGCCGTCACATTGCCGCGCGTTCGTTAACTGAAATTTTCAACCGCTCACAGCGCTTAGTCTCAACAAACTGAACAAACGAAGCTCTAGCTAAACATTATTGACGGAACCTACGGCATGTCAAGTCGTTAAGTAAATACTCTAACAAAATTGAGTATGTTGGGTTTTGTTTTATATTCATTAATATTTATTTTCTTTTCATACTATAATTATTGATTTATACTAAAAATAATTACTAAAGCAATGACAACTAATTTGTTGCTTGTCAAACTTTTATTAAAATTTTGTAATTTTGTATTTGTTAACTATCTTGAAATATTTCATTTATATTAACTTTTAATTATTTAAAAAATGTTTTACCTAGGATTTATAAACTTGTTATCTATAAATATTTGATTTATATTCAATTTTATTTATTTAAAAAATATTTCTAAGCATAACAGACTATTAAAAATATTAATATATTTTTAAAATTAAATTAAAATAATGTATTTTTGATTCAATATTGCAAAATATATTTTGCTACTATTTAATGATTTTTTTTTTATATTATAAGCATGTATATTGTTCTTATATATGCACACATATATTAAAATTCGATATATATATATATTTATTTATCTTACAAAAGCCAAAGAACTGCGACTTAACTACAGCAGGTTATCAAAGCAACTGATCAGGCTTCCAAGCAGCTTTGGGCTTTCTAGCTCAGTCTGATTCCACTGTTCCTCGTTCATTACACTCGAAAAGAGCGGGAGCATAATGAGTTTAGTTAATTATGACAGTCGTTGATCAACACCAAAAAATTACTCTGTGCTTTGAGTCTTAAGTAAATATATTATGTGTTTATTTGAAATGGACAGACATATACAGAGAGAGATAGATAGATCGATTGCGGGCTTTGATTTCCCACTTGCCTTATTCAAGAACTTGTAATCAAATGATAGATTCAATGCAGTTATTTTGATTATTAGGACGATAGAATTTAAAAGTCCGGAATCTGATGACTCTACTATATTTTCCAAAGAGTGCTTACGGAGTTGCTTCCTAAACTGAATGATGTCAGATACTGGAATATTTGCATTTCAATCTTCTTATATAAGATAGAATAAAGTATAATTTCAGATCATTTGCTCTTACCAATTTAGTTTGCCTCATGCAAAGCTTGTAAAAAAAAAAAAGCATAAATATTCATTTTGTACAGATAACATTTATTATGTATTAAATATTATTGTAAATGCTTAATTTATATAATATGTAATAATTTAAATTCGTGTTTTATACATACATTAATTACGCTATTAAACAAACTTGAACTTGATTGTCGCTGACAATCTCTATATACTAAATATTATAAAATAGATATATTTATATATTGACTTGTGGTTATTCAACTACATCGATTTCAATGTTATCATCGTCTTCGGCTCGTTCACTGAGCTCCACGCTGGAGCAACTGTCCGAGCTATAGTCCAATAGCTCGTGTGGCCTTGCTCCAGCTCCAGCTCCAGCTCCGGAAGGGATCAGCAATGGCTTCGTCGCGCTATTGCTGGAGCCCATTGGCCCCTGGGGCTGTGGCTGCTTCTCGTGTCCGCTTTTTAGATTCTCCCGCGTGTGACGCCATTTCATGCGTCGATTCTGGAACCACACTTTGACCTGTGAATCGATCAAACTTTAGCGTGGTTTATGGCTGAGTTTTGGCCAAAGCTTACCTGAGCATCTGTCAGATTCAGGCGTGCTGCCAATTTGCGTCGATCCGGCTTGGTTATGTATTTCTGTTGCTGGAATTGTATCTCGAGTCCTTTTCGCTGCAGATTTGTGAACACGGCTCGCGACCACGAACGTTTCCGTTTGCCATTGCTGTTGTTGCTGTTGCTAATGCTGCTGCTGTTGTTGCTGTTGATGCTGTTGCTGTTGCTGTTATTGCCGTGGCCGCCATTTTGTAACGAGTTTGCAACACCTGTTGCCGTTGTCGGAATGTCCAGCAACTGTGGATGCGCTGTTTTGGCCAAGAAACGTTGCTGCTGCGTTAACTGCAGTGTCTTGAGGCTATTCAAAGGCGCCAGCAGCGCAGCAGCCGCAGTCGCAGCCGACGATGACGACGTCGTTGAGCTGTGCAACATTGTTGTTGCCTTGTGTTGTTGTTGCTGTTGCTGTTGCTGCTGTTGTGTTTGAATATGTTGCTGCTGCTGATGATGATGATGATGTTGCTGCTGCTGTTGATGGAAACGCAGCAGTGCGTTCGTTGCCAGCGACGGAAAGGTTGTTGCTGTAGATCGGATGGAGGATATGCTGGTTTAGTATAGAAACTTGATATAAATTTGGTATATGTATATACCATATGTATATACCATATTTGTATAAATTGTGGTTTGATTAAAACTATTCGATCAAAATCTAGGTCCCTAGGTAGGAGTTAAAGCGATCTATGCTTAACTCAGATGAGTGAACTACGATCTATGCTCTTCGGAGCGACGACTTTTATTTAAAATTCATATCCAATGTATATAGTTCCATGGCTGCCCATGGTGGTTTAATAATAGTCTATATATAATTATATTATATATGCATTTAAATTAATTATGCTTTAATTCAATATCACAACAGATTTTTATTTACTTTAATTTTTTAAATTCTGCAAACACCAGGTAGTAAACCTAAACACTTTTAAATATTCGATTTCCCAAGTAAAAGCGTAATTCTTTGTATTTTCACTTGGCTCTCTAAGTGCCTTAATTTCTATACGTATGTATTTTAATATAATGTGCCACATAAAAAGCTTCTTTAGTTCAAGAGAATTTATGCATTAAATTGTTTATTTATTTATTTTCTTTTTTGGAATATATAAGAAAAGCGTTTGATATTTATACTTAGAGAAGGGCTAAAGAAATCACAAAGTGTTTGTTATTTTTATGAACTTCACATAGAAAAGCAATTTACTGTTAATGTTTTTTAAAAAGAACATTTTTAAGGCTTGGCGCGATTGAAGCTTTTCGATTTCAAAGCCTCAATATTATGAACTATGTATATATGTATATTTGTCATAACCTAATTGAGCTGCAGCTAATCCTAGTAAAAGCTAACGTTTCTGCTTCCAGTCATTGGAAGGAACTTAACCTGTACGACCAATATCCACATTATATTCTTTATTCTCATTCACGAAAGTAAAATGAGTACATTGATTTTCTATCCTATCTTAATCTATTCCTTGGTTTATCGTTGTTTTTTATTTTTTCTTATTTTTATGAATACAAAATATATTTTATAAATTTATTGAACCTTTAATCTTATGATAGTGATATAAAAAGAATTGTAATTGTGTATTTACTTGAATCCCTATAGCACATTTAAATTAATTATCACCTAGTAGTATCTATTCTAGACTTTATATAGACTAGCTTTTTATATTTCTAAAATATTTATTTATTTTACCTAACTTCCTAGCTACATAACTTGCTTATAACTAGTACACCTAAATAGATTTTCTATTTTATCACTTGTCGAATAATTTTTATGTTATTCGCCTCGTTTACTTCTTATATTTATTTTTATTTGCTCGAGAAAATGCATTTAGATTTCAATTTTCATATCATACTACTTTATTATTTATTTGTACACCAAAGCACTCAACATCCTCTATCAGCCGGATATCTCCRGCGGGGCTTAAATATTTTCAATTTATATATACATATATATATATATATAAATATTATGCAAGACAATTTACGCATTTCCTTAAGCGCATTATCTAAAACTCAATAATCTTCGACATGAGCAAATATTAAAATACAATTTCCCTCTCCGAAGAAAAAAAATTGAAAAGAATAAATGAATGTGAGTAAATTATTTTCAATGAAACGCACGTTGAAAATATTTAAATGAGTTTGTTTATAATAAAATTTTCACTTAATTGGAAATAATCAACGTTGCGGGTAAACAAATTGTTTACAACACAGCGCCAAAAAAATAAAATTAACAACAACAAACAGAAGCAAAAATACCTCTTAGAGGACCAAGAAGAAGAAGAATAAAAAAAAAATAAAAATAAAAAATAACAACTAAAATTATTTGGGGTAATCGAGCACGACATGGGGCACGAGATTGCGGCTTGCAGCTAAATGTTTTTTAAATACCTTGTTTCTGCTTCTTCTTTTTAAAAAAACTAGTTTATGCATTTTTATTGGTTTCTTTTTTGTGCACGGATATTTTGAGTGCGTAAATGGATTTCGAATTTGTTTGTGTGCGCGGCATGCGTCTAATTGTTATTTCTTTTTATTTTCCATGGCTCATTTTATTTACTTAAAACTCAAGCGATTTTCTAGCTGTGTATTTACATTGCAACGGAAATGCATCTGTAGCTGCATCTGCAACAGCAGCCGTAATAACGCGCACGCCTTCATCTTAATTGGCCGGCATTTGGCTTATGTCAACCGTCAACGCTTTCGTATAATGAGTTTCCATTGATTTTCAACACCTTGGCGCACCTTAATTGCCACACACAGACACACACACACATACCTTTTGTAAATAATGCTGTAAATATCTTAATGAGTTAAGCGATCATCTAGGCATGGCCACAAGCATCTCGCATCCTGAATATTTGTAGCTATCTTACACAAATTTATGACCTGCTTTAAATTGTTACGATTTATTTTCGAACGTACAATCATATTTATGGGCTTGCGAATATCTGGAGAGCTGGTATAAACATTTGTATGCATTTTCGAATGCAACGCGAATAATCGCCACAATGTATTGCCATAAGCGTAGCGAGAGAGTTATGGGTTCACCTGAAATAGCAGCTGCAAGACCTGAAGAGATCCCTGACCCTGATTGAACGAGCAGGGAAATTGAGTTAATGTTTCCATACGACATACAAACTTTGTTTGGCATTTTCATTTATAAATAAACTCAAGATGAAGTAATTTTCTTAATTTATAATATTGAATAATAAACAAGTCTTTCCTTGACATTAACAAAAAATCCGATGAGGTCAAAGAATTATTTTGTTGACTTCCTCTTTTGATTACAAACATATAATGGAATATGTAACGTACTCAGAAATTCAGAGGAAATTATCTATGAATAATGAAAGGAAATTCCTGTAGATGCATTGCTGAGATATGTATGTATGTACTTTCTATTTGAAAGTATTCACTCAGATAACTCCGATTTCAGATTATATGGATATGTATAATTAAAATATATTTTTTATGACTTACAACATATTTGCTTTTTACAACGTGAACTATTACTCTCACTTTTCTGTTGGACATTCTGTTAGAATTCTAAATTCAAATTAATTTATATCTTCATGGAAGAGACTTGTATTTCTATAAATAAATATTTATGATATTCTTTGTTTGCCTTTGTTTGTCTTTGTTACTGCTCATCATAATAATAGTTCTTAACTTCATTCGAATGTGTTTTTATATCATATCAAAGAAAGGGAAAGAGAGGAAAAGAGAAATGGAAATAGCGGGAGATAGGGATATATCCTTGTAGATGGATACTTGGAGAGGTAGGAGAAGGAACTGAGAGGGAGGGGAAAAAGGGTCGAGTCGGAGAGGAAGGAGAGGAGAAGAAAGGAAAGTAGGGGGAGAAAGTAGGGGGGAGAGGAAAGGGTTGGTTGAAGGTTGGGAGAGAGAGGGTAGAGGGAGGGGAAGGATGGGGATGTACTGGAAGTGAATGAGGGGAAGATGGTAGAGGGAGTGGGATGTATGCTGCATAGAGGGGAAATATATATATATTCAAAACTGATATGATATTCCTTTTATATTCTGAGGTCGATATCTCTCAGGTTTGCCATGCCTTCTTCTGCCTGTTACATACATGTCTACAAAACGATTATACCCTGCTTTCCCATATTCAATGTGTATAATTAAGTAAAGTAGTTCTTATAATAATAAATATGCATAATCCTGATCAACTTTTGGCGTTCCATTATGCAAATTTAACGAATTGCTTGATAATAATCGTCAAATTTAACTAGTCTGTTATCAAGATCAGTATTATATTCCACTGAATGTTGTATAGCAAGTTAGTCTGCCGCTTGAGTTAAAAAAGAAAACAAAGAAACCCACAATTTAATTTCTTGTCCATCAACACAATATTAAATATCGTAATCGAAATCAATTGTAGTGATCAAAATTACAGATAATTCGCATTAATAGGCAACAACAAAAACGAGTTAAAACGATAACTGATCACAATGACGTGTTGAGATCTCATGAAATCCAAAAGCGACTTATAAAAGTCGGATCATAATAAACCACAGCGATCATCAGTGAACGATCATTCGTTGATCGTCTGCAGGGCTTGTTAAGTGAAAGCGCTCCTGCTGCTGGGAACGCTGGCTAATATGACAAAGTTGGCTCAAACAAACAGCATGTTATATACAGGCCAACACGTATGCATTGTATGGATCATTGATCACATCGATCTGGAAGACACAAGCAATTGGATTAACATATAAATTGTAAATTAATTAGGCAAGCGGCGCCAAATTATTGGCCCCGACCCGCAGCATAAACCAAACGATTCATAAATAACTCCAACAACAACAAGAAGCAAAATAACAAGAAGAACAAAAACATACATATGTACGTGAACGAAAAAAAGAGATCTTGAACGATCCATCGATCGGTCGMCCGATCAATCGATCGATCGCCAGCCAAAAAGGAAAAACAATCAAACAAACTACTCAACACCCATGAAACAACAGCAACAAATACATATTGTTGAAGATGAGAGAATGTAAGACCTGGAGCTGGAGCTGGCTGAGCAGCCAGAAACTGTGACTGGCCGAGCCCAATGGTTTTTTATGATGTGCGATGCGATGCGATCAATCCATCACAAATGAATGCAACGATCAGATACCAAAAAGCTCGCGCTCTCTCTCTCTCGCTCTCTCTCACTCTTGTTCTGTGCTGTGCTTCTTCCTGGACCTGACACCACAGGTAGCTTGGCTGGCCACCACAGTGGGTGGCTGTGTAAATAGTTGGCCTCGCTTGGCCCCTAAAAATACCACATAGCTTCAAGCATTCAGCCAGTCAGTCAGCCAGTCAGTCAGTCAGTCAGTCAGTTAGTCAGCTAGCCAGTTGCCCAGTCCGTCAGAATGGTGCATGTCATTAGCTTAAACGGCTGCCTCAGTAGTTGGCTCCGCGGCGCTTCAATCTATCAGAAGATAGAAAGATTCCGCAGCCATCTTCTGGCTAAAGGCTAAGCGCTCTCTGGCCGAACGGAACAATTCATTATATTGTAGTTGGGATGGATTTGCTATTCCTGAATGACGGGGGCCAATTGCTCAAGCAAATAAACAAATTTGCTTCAATCGGTTTTTGTTCGTTTCATTTGTTTGCTGCCAAGCGGGGCCGCCTGGCAGACAGTTTATTTTCAAAGGCCGATTCTTAATTTGTTCATAAATTGTTGTTAATTTGGTTTTGGTTCTTTTGAATTTAATTTATTTAATGTTGCCCAGGATTGATGAAACACTTCAAACTCTCGTCTGGCCGTGGCTTCTGATGTGTGCACGTATCTCTGTTTGCCTCTTCTGCTGACGATTGAGGAAATGTCGAATTTAATGCTACGTGCTAATTGGCATTTCATTTGCGATCTGCGTGTGTTTAATGTGTTTGAGAATCATTTAATATTGATAATAATTTCCATAAATGTTCACATTTAATTGATGGCCTGGCGAATTCCAATTAATTTGCCGCTAATTTGTTTGCATCGTTCAAAGGAAATTAAGGTGAAAATGTTGCTGAAAATATTGTTGAATGATATCATTGCTGATTTTTTGGGCATGCATAAATTCGAGTCAATTGAAGCTTTTTGGAAAGTCTTGAAATGAATTGACAAGGAAGTTTTACTTAATGTTAATATTACCCTTTCAATATACATGCTGATCGGTTGTCAATGCTTGTGAACAGGTTTATCAAAATTAAAGGTGAGCATTAAGAGGAAATAAATTCAGTATATAAATTCATTATATCCATTTTAATATTGATTTTTATATCAAATTATAATGATCAAGATACTAAAGTTTGTTGTATTTATTTAATTTAGATTCCAACATTAGAAAAAATCTATAGGTAACTACTATGAAAGTTGTACTAAATAAAATTTTAGCCTTTGTCTTGATCAATGTGTGCGCTATGGCAATCGATACACCGTCTTAAGATTTCTATGCTAAATCTTTATTTATGAATTAAATTTATTTTTCATTAAGCTTAACTATTAACTACTTATCTATTTATGCAGCTATACGTTTATATACTTTGAGCTCACAGCCTATGGCCTAAGACGTTAAGTCTAGAGCCATAAATAGCACATCAAGTTTTTTAATGGGTTATATCGCATTTAAGAACTAGATTTACTTAATTTGGTCTAAGGTTTCTGCTAATATTAAGATTTTGATACTTTGTATACCCAATTATATATTATTCTTCGATACAACTAACAACGTTGAGGGGGTAAGACTAATAATAATTAATTATAAGGTGTACTCGACTGGTATTCTTTCATTTGTATTTATTTTTATACCCTGAACCCATTGAAAATGGGAAATCAGGGTATAATGGTTTTGTGAAAAGTATATAACAGGCAGAAGGAATCATCGCAGACTCCATAAAGTATATATGTTCTTGATCAGAACGACGAGCTGAGTCGATATAGCCCTGTCCGTCCGTCCGTCCATCCGTATGAGCAGAATATCAGCTTGGAGGGTTCAGGGTATCTCCCAGACGAGAAGTCTCGACTGGTGTCTTCTTACTTGTTTATATAGAGCATAAGATCAGCTTTCTCTCAAATCAGAAATAGTCATTCGAAGTTCATTCATTCCAAATATCAAGTGAGCATCAATTTTTACCATAAAAAGTGTATGAATTGTATGGAAAATTGTAATCTACTAAGATCAAAAACTATATTTATAAGTTTTTGATCTTAGTAGATTAAAAGTTGAAATCGACTTTGTTAAGAATTTTAATATTAGTTTAACTATAGTAATATAAGAATTTTGTATTATTTACAACTGATATAAAAAGTTTAAATGAACAGCATTCATTGATATTGTATATTGAATGATTTAGTAGCCATTTAATTGATTTCTTTTATGGCATCCTTTTCTTCACAATCTTTGGCAATATTCGGTTCGATGACATTGTGTAAGACACACTTCCGGGCGCAGCCTTCAACGCATGTAGCAATTGAGACACTCAGCCCATTTAACACCCTCTTGATAAGAATTGTATATAAAACAAAAGAGTTAGGCCTAAATTGAGGGGCCCACAAAAGGAAAAGGGCACCAGCTAAACAATTGAATACACCACAAGACACAAAATATATTTCTCACTATTTTTCATATAAACAAGATCAAAGTAGCACAGGCTGCTTGGCGTGCGGGCAGACAGTCTATGAGTCGTCCCCAGATATACAAAAACAGCAGGAAGTAACGTAAATACGATTCGACGAGCCGATATCTATTTGTCGATTTCAACAAACGAATTGTTTTCGTCAAGAGCAAGCCACAAACAGTTGGCAACAATAATATTGCACAATATGGCCGCAGATCAACTAATAATTCCAATAAAAATGCACGATTTATGACCCGGCCATTTGGCTAGAAACTCAAAGTGTTTCGAGTCATCTCCTTTTCCATGAAATGTAAATTTTTACATATGTGTTTGCATTTGCAGTTTATAATAGTTTTGAATAGCCGAAGAATGTGTCGGAATTTGATTGGCAAATGGGAAAAGTTCTTAAACGGTTCGTCTTTTGATCGTACACCGGTAATTTCTTTGCCATAGCTAATGAGAGGATATTGAACCTTAAAATATAGATATTTATGGCAGTTGTCTAAATAAAGAATATATACATAAATGGCCGTTTCTTTGCTAATAAATTTAATGTGAGAAACACAAGAACAGTTATAAATACAATATATTTATATATATACAATATATATATTTTTCAATTTATAAATTATGTTTTGTTTTTGTTGATGATTGCACATCCTGACATTTATCCAGTGAATTGTTTCAGATTGTCTAGAGCTGGTATACATTTAGAATATAGATTTGATTCTTTATAGTATAACATTTTATAATAATCATATAAAATATAGATTTTTTTGTACCTGTCGATATTTGCATAGATATTGATCCCGATTGGACATCTAGATATTTGTATTATAAATTTTTTATTTCCGATCATCGTGTAATAAACTTGATTTTTACTTTTATAGATATATAAGATCTTTTGTTATTCCAAAATACATTTTGGAATAACACACTATAAATATTATTTCAGGTTTTGTATAAATATGTTATAAGCTTGTTATTATTAAGTTTAAATTCTTTGCAAACTTTTCTTAATGAGATATTTTAATATTTTTATGCTTGTTCTCTAAGTTTATAGAGTATATTGCATATTACCTATGCCGATTCGGGGCATGTCAAATTGAGAACACGTATATTTTCTACAGTTTTAATGTTAGAGCACGAGACTCAGTAATAAGTTCAGATTGATTAGACAAGTATATAATTATGCTGACTAGGGGCTGATAAATCGAGGATGCCTATACAAATTTCTTACTATTTTTCGCTTGTTGGTAAAAAATCCGCGATAAAAATATATTATTATTATATTCTATTTATATTTATGCCAATTTGGACCATGGTAAGTTAGCAAATTTACATGTTCTACAGTTATAGATCGTTTGCTTTATAATATTCTTACCATGATCAGCTGCTCGAATGGGCGTCGGTCTCAGCACTGACTTGTAATCCATATATATGCCCGAATAGAACTTATCCAATCCCGCGTAGTTATAGTTATGTGGATTTGTCATGCCTTGTGACGCAGACATTGAAGCGTGCTTGGCAGCCTCAGTTGTCTGTTGTCCAAAGCAGCTGGAGAAGGTGCAGCAGGCATAGACACTACCCTCACAGCATTCTTGCGTGGACGCTGGGTTTGGCATGGGCAAAGGATCGATGCGCTCGGCGCTTAACAAACGATCCACACTGAAACTAAGTTTCACTTTGGTTGTGTTTGTGGTGCTATTGGAGCTGCCATTGCTGCTGGTGAGGGATGTATTGGGGGTTGTGGCACTGGGACTGGACACGGAATCTTTGGTGGGCAAATCACTGTTGGAACCGTTCTCACTATCCATGGGATCGTGACATGGTGTTTGCAACTTGATTTCACAGTCGTTAAACACATGAGTGCTGAGATTCTCGGGCACACTTTGTTCCATGTTGGCACTTTCGTGTAGTAACATTGTCACACTGCAGCTAAGCGCTATAATTATACGATCATGTCACGGAGGCAATAGAAAACACCGTCGCTTAAAAGACACGGCCTTTACGTACAAAATGTTTATGCGGAGCGGGGGATTCGCAGTCGATTCCAACCGTTTGGTAAGACAACCCACACGGAACTGAATGCGACCGGGCCGGGAGCAAATCCAAGCAGCGATCATCGATTGCCGCTGGGTCCATACAAATAAGTATTGTGTTAAAGTGTAAATCTCGCTGATCGATACAGTGGGTCACGTTGTGACAAAAAGTGAAGAAAATGTGTATATTCAGTTTAAATATGCAAATAGGGGACGTTTATATGTGATAATACATATACATATGGATTTCTACAATTATTTATTGGAAAATCGATAAATATAGATATCATTTCATCATATTGACTTTTCTTATATATTCCATTTCATAAATATTAAAAGCAGGAAATTTAAAAAATAATAAATATAATTTAATTTTAATATACCTTTATTTAATTATTAATTAAAACAATATTGTTAATTTAATCTACTACTGGAATTTACTTTTAAAATATAAACAAAAAATTTAGAATAACAAATGCTATCGTTGAATATAAAATATATTACATGCAAATAAAAATGTAAAAAATCTTTTTATGAACTACTATATATATTTATATATGATTTTTAAGAATCATAAGCCAACTTAATAGTGTACAAATTAAATTATAGTAAAAACTTAACATTGTTTCATATTGTAGGCATGATTACATATTTGATATATGTATTTTCTAAAAATATTTCTATACATATATATTCTATATAAATTTAGTTCTTCTCGTATTTGTCCCACTGTTTTTCATGTGGGAAACTTGCTCTACACGCTTTGGTTGTTTACATACAAACAGAACGCTGTGTCATTAGCTCAGCCAGAGATCGTTCGTTGATCGGTATTGAGATTTGTTTACCGATTTCTCCATATGTTGCTGTGCTCAATGCACATACACACACATACACACACACACACTGAGTTCCCTAGCGCCTACAACTTATGGAGCGACAGCATGGCAGCTGTTGGCCAATGCGAACGATCCATTCCAGTGGGCGGAGCCACAGACGCTATCGCCGGCAAATGCTTTATCTCTTTCCAGCCTATGGGCGCACGAATACCAGATATATGTGTATGTACGTATGTATGCAAATTGTCGGAAATTGAGTGATCTTTGCGCGAATGCCTGTTAATAAAGTGGGTAATGGTGCCGAGCGAATTGTCGACTCATAAATCGCACTGGATTCTATAGACCCTCATAAATCGTCTATATAGACCCAGACAATAGCAATTTTATTGAAATGCATTGCATGTTCACGCTCAAAAGCAACAACAACAACAACAAATGTTTGTGACCTATTAAAGAATGGCGAAGTTAACTTTTTGTGACCTGCCCGAATATTTTGCCTAAAATCGGTAGAAATTATTATATGAAAGTTTAGTTTTCTGTGAGGCGAAATTTGTTTTGTTAATCAGAATTTGAATCAGATTCCCTGGCGTGTCGGTACCGCCCCTTTAGCGCCCCCATAGCACCCAATTGACCCCGAAAAAGAAAACAACAAATATGCAAATGCAATCACGGGAAACGAAAACTAAATAAGGACACTTCAACCCCTAAAGCAAATGTCGAATACTTTGGGATCGGCTAAAGACCTCTCTAAAAAAGAATCAAATGCTAAAATAAGTTTAGTAAAAAAATTTCAGACAAATAAATTTTAATTTGTTCATTTATTATTTAGAAATTTCATGAAATTTGTAAGAATATGTATGTAGTGTAAATATTTATTATTTTATTTATTTGAAATGTTAAATTATAATATAATATAATAGAAAACACAAATCGATGGACTTTTATTTAAATATTAAAAAAAAAAATTATTGTAAAATATTTGAAAAAAAAAAGGAATGCAACTCAATTTATTAAGTTTGTTTTTATTTTATATTTTACGAATATTCTAATGGTGCAGTGTTAATATTGTTCGTCAAATGTAACATTTTATTTAGTCTTTATAATTAGAGTTTTTAATAAATATATATTTTATAATTCGAATATTAGCTAATAGTTAAATTAATGCATTTAATATTTTTATTTGAAAATTAAAAATTTTATTGTGTATTTTTTAATATAAAATTATAAAT